AAAAAGAATGCGATTAAACGAGTTACGATGTGTAACCACCATTTGTACCGCTAATGGAATACAGAGTAGACAGATGGATCTTAAGAGCGTAATATCTAAAGAAGATTACCATAATTCCCAAGATCAACACTAAAACATCTTCCACAGAGAGGCGACTGCGTGAAGCCAGTCTGAGGCTCACTTCATTCTCGACAATCGGGCTATTGGCCTATTTTAATCTCCAGATACATGCTAATAGATGTCAACCTCGTGGCCTCTAACTTAACAGAAGTTCACGTCTTGGCAGTTAATGACATTTCTGAGTTTCTGGATGAATAGGTTCTCCCACTATGAATTATCGGTAAAAGACTCTTTGAGTTTCTTCATCGATATAATATTAAAGTTGAAATTAATTCAAGGCAGAAAAGAATGGGAAACGACATTATTACTCTTCCAAAAACAAAATTTTCGAATTTCATTAATGCTATAGTTGACCTCTTTCTCCGCGAAGTTCCGTAAAGTAAGGGTTGTACAATGGTTATGCTAAAAATGGTAATAGCAGTTGGAATTTTTGAATAAATTTTTCACACCGAGGTTAATTTAAGTCCTCCCATTATCTCAGGACTTGTAAGTTCGATAGAAATGGCAAACACTACGTTTAAAGATTGAGCTGTCAAATGGGAGTGGGAGGAGGCGGGGTGTGATTTGGGGGACCTGAGTTTCTCATGGGACAGTCTTCCTCAGGCAATTCTAATAACAAAGGTAGATTTTGTAAGAGACAGTTTCATCTTGTATTATTTTCATTTGTTTAACGTTCAGTTGTCAGGTTTTCGTGTTGATTTCAACTTGGCTAATCGGTCAATTATCCATTCATAAGGACATATTTCTGATTGAATTAGAATGGAGATCAAATGATCTTGAACATAACGTATTAACATAAGGACTAAGCTTTTCCGTGGGTTTGTTGCGAAGGTCATTAACGCGTTGAATTGTAATCATGTCCAATGGATTTACGTCTCCATTTGTATTAGAATATCTGCATGGTCGGATTTTGAACCCCCAAAAATACTTTAATTTAATCTAAGATAAATAATTTACAAGTGGATTCAAGAAATTCTTGTTGGGAAACCCCAATTTTGACACTCTTATTTATTAGTCAACTTAAACAATACCGCTGCTTATTCTTCTAATTGGATGTGCACTTTGGGCATCTAACCCGTGGCATATGACTTCACAGGCTCACCTTAAGCAAAGAAAAATTAACTTTCGGAACCTCCATTATTGAGTTCACTACTATTACCCATGGTATGGTTCAGCGTGCCATGGACAATGGTTATAAAGCTCAAAATTTAATTAGTAAACCATTTGATTTAGTAATGTGATGGTGCCCTCAATGCCCGGATTTTATTTTGAATGGTTAGTCATGGTCCTTCGATCAATGAACCCATTTATTGTAATTCCAGTTATGAAGTTCATAAATGACTTTATGTTTCTAATTTGTGTCCTTTAATTTACCACAAGGCACGCTGCTTTAATATAGTAATCAATAAATAATCAATAACATATTTAAATATGTTTCTCGTGTTATATCATTAACGAAAAAGTGAAATTGGCTATCGGCGCGTTAGAAATAGAACTCTTAGAATGTTATTGACGGATTTAAGCAAGAGCTACTGTCTGTCTAACTTTAAAGCACTCAACCATCTCCGACAAACTCAATTCTAGTAAACCTTTTGAGATAAATCTGTCACTTCGGCATGTGGGATGGAATCTCAAATTCCGCCTTTTTGCCCTCTTTTCTTCATTCAGGCACCAAAATCTACAAGCTGACTTTGAAGTTGATCAAAACAATAACCCGTAGTTTGTTGTTAAATCGATGGGGGAATTGATAAATGCTGGCTATAAAATAAAACCCTTCTTTATTTCAAGTAAAGAGTTATTAATACAATTTCTGTAGTAATTAGCAAAAATATGTTATTAATTTTACGTACTGTGGATTTGACTATACTTTAATTTAATTCCATTCTCTCAGTTTTTATTTATTTATATCAAATGGCAGGCTTAATGATAGTTATCATTCGCCCTTTAGTTGCCTTCGGGCTTCACAGAGAGGAGGAGCAACAAAGTCGCAAAAAGGTCTAGAAGAGGAACAGAAGAGTGATGCACAGATGTAAAAGAAACAAACACAAAGGTCGAGAAAAAAGTAAGGTGAGTACTGTAGAGTGGTCCATTATGACAAACAATGGGGTCATGGTAGTTTGAAGTCAGAAATCAACTGCCGGATTATAGACTTTTTTGTCGTTTAATTTTACGTTGTCCAGGAGGTAAGTCTATCGCGCACCCCTCCCCCATTTTAGGCTATTCAAAAGTACTATAAGTACTTTAAAAGGCGTAGGTTAGTGACAGCTATGCAGAAAGACATGACCAATAGAGGTATAACAATGTGAAGACCACTGAAATGAAAAGTAATCTTAAAAGTTTAAATCAGTATTCAGACAGAGAACGGACCGAATTTAAGTACAGTCACCTCGCGGATAAGGTTAAACAATATTACTCTTCAAACCGGTTCACATGGTAACGCTTTCAAATTGTATACTTATAAATGAATGAGGTCATAAGCTTTAATGCGGTGTCCGATTGTCCTATATCTTAAGGTTAATTTACGATTAATTATCTTAGAATATCATTGTTCTTAACATTATGAATTCATTCAGACATTAATTTCAAAAGTGGATTTAAATAAATTTAATTATACGAGGATCTCACAAAACTGAATTCAATAAGATTTATTCTGTTAGTTATCAATCAATGCACGCAATAAACCACAGAATAGGCTCCTCTTTGTATTCATACACATAAAGCATTGAAGTCAACGACATAGTTAATTAGTAAGTAAGTGCCAACGGAATTGCTGCAATGCACTAAACTAGGAATAAACAATGCTTTCAAGTGCTAAGACGAGAGTGAATCGGGCTTTTGTTCTACCTGTCGATCGTTGGTAAGTCACCTTATATTTATGATTTAGCGTGGGCAGTGTAACGCATGGGTGCGCTTCAGCCAAAAATTGTTTAAATTTAGAATCTTATAAATAACTTCAAAGATAGCTGACATAAATAAGCAGTGACAATCTTCTTGCAAATTATATTTGAAGTGTATTGAAGAGAACTGAGTTTCAAATAATTCCTTCCATAAAAGTGTTTCAAAATTTAAGGCCATGAAAGATGCACTTATTCATGTGAACAAAATCGATAATTCTCACACATGTCAGTGTGGGCATGGTAGGCTGAGATAATTAGAGGAAAAGTATTTGGGATTCTATCCATATATGAATAAATATTTTCAAAGAATTACTCTGTGGATACACTTAAAATGAAAAAAAATGTAAATATGCTAGGAGGAACGATAATCTTACACTGACATAGCCTTAAACAATAAAAATAATTCATAGAGGTAAATTACAAAGATGCTATGGGTTTAATCTTGGGCATAATATTCAACTTGATGAGTACCTAAAAAATTGGCCAATAAAAGAAATCGGTAAGCAATAGGAATCGATTGTTCCTTTTCAAAAGCTAAAGAATGTTTTTTTTTCGCAAATGTGGGTTGAGATTTAATGGAAGCTTACACAATAACGTCAGTCGCAAAATAGAAACCACACGAGAACTCCAATCAGTTGATCCCAATTGCTCTTCCTATTGTGAAAAAAGTCATATCAATCATGGTATCATATGCTATTACTCTTTTATGCCACGTTTCAAGACTTTGTCAAGAAATTAAATTTGTAAATACATTTGTATCTAAGACGATATTTAGATAAACAGGTTGCATATTGCCATAACGCAAGGACTTGTCAGGAAACCCAAATGAAACTGAATTTTGGACAGGGAGAAGTATGAGTACTTTAGTTGAAAATCTGGAACGTACAATTTCGATAGTGTCATATTTACTCAAAATATTAAACAGTTATTATCATCGACAATTTTATTTATTAAACATAGCTAAAATAACCTCCAATCAAAATAAAAAAATGAGGGGGAAAGTAAGATCCAAATCGATTGAAATTTTCGCATTTTAATGAAATTAACAAGCGTGGAGTAAAAATCAATACGATAGCTGAGTCATTTCCGATTAGTGGGAAGCACAAGTAGGGTGAAATCTAAACCCCAAGAAATAGAACATCTAGCCTACTACACGTATATTCGCCTACTTTTTGGAAAAACACATTCATACACCCTCCATGTTGTAAATGCCTTCACACATGCCGATTAGACGAGATTGTGGAAAAGTTCTCTGGGCCTCTCTCACCACAAACTGATGATCAATTAAGTAGCTTGTTAAAAACTCATTGGCTATTAAAGCGACCACAAGTCCAAGGAAAGGAAATGGACCTTGGACATCAAAACTAGACATTCAGACAGCAAGACAGACGTTGTCTACAGACCGACAACCATAATTAGGAGTACTTTCGACTGCGTGTCCTTTTCGTACGCATACCGATATGCAAATATACATACTATGAGGGGTAACTAGAACACAGACAACGGTCTAGCCAGCACTTCAAAAAAAGCGACAAATGAGGTAAGTCATTTTTAACCGCTCTTGCCAAAATAACGTAATTTTTCATCTACCCGGCATAATTAATGGCTACAGACAAGTATTTATAACAAAATTTCTTTAGAAACCACTATTATTTTTTAGTAAAATATATTATCAATAATAAATGCACAAAATCACTATTTACATCGGTGCGCAGTGCGTAGGTGCGTGTCCTGACAACCAATGGGATTAAACTATTTCTCCATTTAGATTTTATGATAACTGACCAATGAGAGACGACTTTTATTGTGATTGGTTGGCTGGAGATGGTTGTTCGTGTAAACTCTAAGGCCATTCGCGTACCAGATATAAACGTGCGTACGCAGCGTTAGCTCTCATACCGTGTGTCAGCGGTTTGGTTCTCGTCTCTGTCGCTCTTTGCTGTTATCATTTTCCTTGAGCTAGATCTCCTCTTTTCTTTACAAATGGACTCAGAAACTACTAACGACATTAGTAGTCTCTTTCCTGAACCCCGTAAACTCAATCAACATGTTCGTTACATCGAACGCTCTTCAACGGATTTAAATACAGGTTAGTATTTTTCCGCCTTTATGGGACCAGATTGTATCGGAGTTTTTGATCACATTTATTTTTGTCCTGTTAGATCTTGACGTAATTCGAGATGTGGAATTATTTAATCGCTCTTACGAAATCGGAGGACAGATTGGAAAGGGTGGATTTGGAAAGGTGAATGAAGCCGTTCACGTTGAAACTGGAAAATCGGTTATTATCAAACGTGTTGATTCTGACCGAGTCCCATGCTGGTGCCGGGTAAGCATATAAGTCCTTATTCGGTTTAATTACCGTAATTGAAGCTCAATAGCTAAATGTGGCTTCATTTTCTAAACAGCTTGATGGCATTATGGTTCCCATGGAGGTTATTCTCTTAAAGAAGCTCTCCAAAGTCGAGGGTGTTTCTAAGATGCTTGAGGTGTACGACCTCAATGATACTTGGCGAATTGTTATGGATGGAAATCCCCCGAATACTCTTGATTTGTTCGATTACATTTGCAAGCGTGGATACCTTACTGAAGGCGAATCAGCCTTTATCATGTACCAACTTGTTGGAATTCTACTTCAATGCCACGCAGAAGGCGTCATCCATCGTGATCTCAAGGATGAGAATATTCTCATTGATCCTGAAACCTTCAAGATTTGTCTCATTGATTTTGGTTCGGGATCATTCCTTCATGAAGAAATCTATACGGATTTCGATGGAACTCGTGTTTACTCTCCTCCAGAGTGGATTGTAACTGGCGAGTACCTTGGAAAGGCAGCCGAGGTCTGGACTGTTGGGATTCTTCTATTTGACATGATTAATGGAGACATTCCATTCAACAATGATAGGGAAATTCTCTCCGGCCAAGTTCGATTTCGTCGATCCGGGGTCAGTCAAGAAGTCCGGAATCTTATCTAGTAAGTATATGTTTCCGTATTCTTAGTATCCTCAACTTCGTTCAGCGATTCTTATCGGCTTTGTACCATTTAGTAATTGCCTTAGACAAGATCCGGAAGAGCGTCCAAATCTTGCCCAAATCCTCCAACACTCTTGGATGAAGATGTTTAAAAAATCCATCGCCAAGGTGAACTGTCAAGCATCTAGATACGCTCTCTCAACAACTAGTGGTCCCGTTCAGTCTCCCCTTACTTCCTCTGTCACAGTTCGCTCCGGTCTTTGTAATCTTGCTAACCTTTCAATAGCAACGGACAGTCAAAATGGCATCCAACATAAACAAAAGGAAAGCTGTGAAATCTCTCCGGATTTACTCCCCATACAATCAGCTGAGTCTGTTTCTGCTACTTATAAACATGGTGGATATAACTATGGTGGTCTACTGAGGAGTCAACCTGAATCGACAATCAATAAGTACTCTTCCTCATCCTCTTCGGTTTCCAATATCGATCAAAATCCCAGTTCCGCCGCTTTGCGCCTTAATCCTGCTGTTCCTGACGTGCTTCATCGGTTTGATGCCCGTCTCCCTAATGCGATTGAAGCTAGTTTTTTTCGTCGACAACAGGAGGTGGAACAACAGCGACAATTCAGCTTGGATATCGCCCGAGATTTCCAGCTCTCCGGAGAGTTGCCCAGTCCCAGTAGCTCCGGCTACATCTCCCGTTCCAGTTCCATTGAAGAACAGGACCGTGGGACTTCCAAGGTGATTCATTCCAATCCCAAATTGAATCGGGAAGAATCCACAGATAGTTCCCTCTCCGCATCCGACCAGCACCCCTTCGTTTCCGAGGACAAAGATCGGGTTATCCTCTTTACGATTGCCGAAAATTGTCCCCGAATTGTGGGCAAATCGAAACTCGCTCATGTACAATCATGTGGTTCTCACATGTCCCATTGTTAGCACAGTTTCGAATGACTCCTTTATCTACCTCGTATTTGGCGCCGATCGTTTTCTATTTAACCAGTCGAAAATCGGACAAAAATTGCTCTGCCTCACTGTGTATATTAATGTCCACCTTTGTGCAGATCCCCTACTACCCCTAAGATTGTACAAAGTTGACCCCTTCAAATCAATCATGTATATGTAACCAGAACCCCTTCCAGGTGGATTTGCCACATCCCCCCCCCCC